ACAAAAAAAAAAAACCCCATGAACAATTACACAAATAGACGGCCCCCAGTCCCCGGCGGCCCCGCTATTCCTGGCTACGGTGGCGACCATGGTAACGGCGGGGCACGGGGTGTTAAGAATCTCCGGTGGAGGTTCGGTTGCCACCTACGACGACGATCTGGCAACATTTAACGCACGCACCCTGAGGACTGACGAGAAAATCCTGGAGCTGGAAGAAAAGATAGACAAGTTGCGCTGTAATATTATAGGATTATCCGAGGTCCGAAGAGGGGGAGAGGACACGGTGATTCTTGAATCCGGCAACTTGTTCTATCACCGGGAGGGCGAGCATCTGTCCCAAGGAGGTGTTGGATTTATCGTCCATAAGTCTCTCGTTAACAACGTTCTAAAGATTTGGAGTGTATCGACGAGGGTTGCGTACCTTATACTCAGAATCACCAAACGGTATTCACTGAAGGTCATACAGGTTTACGCGTCAACGTCGGAACATCCCGATTAAGAGGTGGAGGAAATGTATGAGGATATTTCTAGAGCCATGCATTCCTCCAACACTCACTATACGGTGTTAATGGGAGACTTCAACGCAAAACTGGGCACAAGAAAGAACGGTGAGCTGAAGGTAGGGAAATTTGGAGTAGGGCAACGGAACCGAAGGGGCCAGCAGCTGGCCGACTTTATGGAGAGAGAGGGACTCTTTATGATGAACTCTTTTTTCCAGAAGCGGCCTCACAAGAAGTGAACCTGGTCGAGCCCCGACGGTTCGACAAAAAATGAGATTGACTTCATTATGACGACCAGACGCCAACTGTTCAGTGATGTCTCAGTGATCGCAAGGGTGAAAACTGGCAGCGATCACCGAATGGTTAAAGGCACACTGAACCTAAACGTTAAGTTGGAGAGGTCTCGTCTAATGAAGTCAACGCTCCGTCCCCCTCGTGCTCTAATCCAGAATCCCGTAAACTTTCAGCTCCAGTTACGTAACCGCTTTCAGTGCCTACAAGATTGCAATGCAGTGGATGATATGAATGACAAGCTCGTGGAAACTGTCCATGCGGTCGGAGCTAAGTTCTGCAAGACCCGCCGCAGAAGAACACAAAAACTCTCCGATCACACTCTTAATCTCATGGCTGTTAGACGGGAGATGAGGCTGCAATCGTCAACAGATTTGACAGCATACAGGCAACTGAACAGATAGATCTCCAAATGCATGCGGCGAGACTTACGCAACTTTAATACTGCTCATATTAAAGAAGCGATCGAGCGGAACCAGGGCTCCAAAGTCTTTGCCAGAGATCTGGCTGCCAGTAAGAGCCAACTGTCAAAACTGAAGACTGAGTGTGGCAGCATCGTTTCCGGGACACCTGAGTGGGATTGAGATGTTCTATGGGCAGCTGTACACATCATCATTGGAGCCACACGCAAGTGTGAGTAACGATCCAAGAGCGGGTCTTATCCGACACTAATCCGATGATATCCCGGACGTCAGTCTAAGCGAGATTAGAATGTCTCTCCAGCACCTTAAAAACGCCAGGGCCCCAGGCGAGGATGGAATTACAGCGGAGCTTCTGAAAGCGGGTGGAACACCGGTACTTGAAGTCCTTCAGAAGCTCTTCAATTCCGTCCTGCATAGTGGCACTACTCCAGAGGCGTGGAGCAGAAGTGCGGTGGTCTTGTTCTTTAAGAAAGGCGACAACGCTCTCTTGAAGAACTACAGACCGATTTCCCTTCTGAGTTGCTAGCCCTGGGACACTCACGAGGTGGGTTCTACTAACAACAAAGAGCCTCTTTCCTCTACAACTTATTCACACAACAAATATACGATATAGCTATTTGGCAAAAGTTTTCTGTAAGATGGAGGCAACCAATTATGGTATTTCAAGAACCATTCTCCAGCTTAGGTTGCTCAAATTCAATCAGGAATCTTGCTGTATCCTACCCATTATCTTGTTTGTGTTTTCTTCATGCTTGAAAATGTTGGGCACAACTTATGTCTATCGAACTAAATGTTTAATTTGTATTTCATCAATACTATTTTTATATCTATGGCCATCTCATAAAATAAATTATTTAATTACATGAATGAAGTTTGTGAAGTTTGCTGGGACAAAGCTCGAGATTTGAGCTGTACCTAAACTAAGAAGAAGGACCCCAGCATATTGTGTTTCCCAATATAAGAATTTCCGCTTTCATGCAATATATACACTAGAGGTATCCCGAGAGAGAATAGATGGTTTAGAGAGAATAAACCCAATGTTGCTTCATGCTAAAATTAAGTCCCGCCATTTTTCCGCTAAAACTTTGTATTTATAGTTGCAGAAACAAACATGATTGGGCGGGACGCAATCAGAAGTTATTGCTGTAACTGCATTGTAGATTTAAGAACAGTGGGATGCTACTCACATGTTATTAGTATTATTTGGTACGTACGCCATGCTCGTCATGAGGGTATTACCCGGCCTTCCCCCTTCTTAGATGAAGTTTTATAAAGAATTCATTAATTATAAGTACAATAAAATAAATGAACTTAAAAAAATATTTTTTTTTACCTACACTCAAAACCCCATCGGAATTTCTTCATTACCAAATGTTGCAGTCCGCTGCTGAATATAGGTATGTATCTCCAAATTCACAACGCTGAGTAGATACCGATTCTCATCTCAATCTACCTACTTAATGGTAGAACCACGCCATAGCTATAATATAGTTGTAGCATGAATGACTCTGCTCAACCGGGGAAGAACCACGCTCTCACAGAATACCAGTGTAAAATAGCAGCTTAATACTGCTGTGTTTCGTATAGTAAGTGTAGAGATCCGGAGACCCTTTTTTACTAGAAACGAGGCATTCGATCCTAGTCTTCAGAGGTGAGAACGCATCTGAATTTTGATTCTAAATCGAGTATAAATGTAGCTGTCTATGGGCCACAGCATCCACTAATCTTCGATTGTCACCCTTATTCTATTAAAAGAAATAATGGTTTGTAAAGCAGTACAGAGTAGAGAAAAGCAATATAGAATATTTACTTTATCACAAAAACAATGTCTATTTGCCTATAATATGTAACACAGGTACACTATGAGAGGTTTTGGCCGTCGACGGATTGTCGGATAATTTGTCGCTCCTGTTTTGTTGCTTGAATAATGGTTTGAAGTAGATTTTGATTCGTAAAAGTGATACGATTTTGTGAATTGTCTGCGCTTATGAACCATTAGAGAAAACGACGAAACAAGTGTTTTGATGTTGATATAATCTCCCAAAAACTGTGACGCAAAAAGTGACGCATCAGCATATCGTAAAATTAAAACTGGTTACAACTTACAACTTTTATGTCCCAAGATCTAAAAATCTAAGAATTTAAAAGGGGTTTGTCTATTCTACTAACTACCAATTAAAACCAAAAATATCCCAAAACACGAAATTTAATTAGCGGTATGAAACTCCCATACAAGCCTGCCATTCTCCTTTAAAACGATATTTCCACAATAATTCCTTCTGCATCAGCAACACGCCGGGTACGAGCTGATATTGAATAAATAAGAACCAACGCTTAATTTGTCAGTACGCAATGCATCATTTTGTGCGACCGATGTGGTTACCTGCGTTTAAATTTCTTACTTATTGGGTCCGACATTTTCCCATGTCATTAAGCTTAATTAGTTAATGAGAACACTTTTAATTAGCAACAGCATTGCCAATATTTTTAAAGTGCAGCGAAACAGTTCGGCATTCCAACAATATCATTATAAATGTAATGGCAGCAATTCTAACAGTTTTGACACAGTATAGTGGCAGTGTAAGTTTATCTACACACTAGATAAAGTGAAACAGCACTGCAACATCTTTCTTATCCCCTTGGCTGTCCAAACGCCATATTCTGGCGTCTCAAATAATATGCGCATCTGTCAAACGCCAATACGGCGTCGAGTGATAGCAAACTATTTGTAACATATATATTATATATAGCATACATATATATAACATATATATCTGTTATGCATAATCTGATAGCTTATTTAATAACGTTTCAATTGATATATGATTTTAATATACTTACTTAGTATATATATTATATACTTAGTATACTTGTTATATACTTACTTAGTACTTCGGAAAGTGCTCGACAGATGCGCCATATTGGCTAAAATGACCCCGACATTCGAGTGGATAAAACAGCTGAAAATCATAAAAACAAATTTGAGAGCCAAGTTGCAGTTATACTGGAGTTGTAGCATGAATGGGTCAGCTCGACCGGGGCAGGACCACGCTCTCACAGAATTCCAGCGTAAAATAGCAGCGTAATGGTGCTGTGTTTCTTATGGTGAATATAGAGAACCGGAGACGCGTTTTACTGGAATCGAGGCATTCCATCTTAGTACTCAGGAGTGACAACGCATTTGCATTTTGATTCTTAATTGAGGATAAATGTGTATGTCTATGGGCCACAGTATACACTTACCATCAAGTGGACTGTGTGATCGTTTGTTACCTAATGCTATAAAAAAAATCTACACGCCAAACGTAGTAACTATGCCAAATTTCCCCTATGAGGTAATTTAAGAGGGGGACCAATGCTTATAGGCTGAAATAATCTATAAAAAGTTACATTAGCTTCCAAAATAAAAAGAAGTCAAGTTCTATTATTGGACACATGTTAAGATGAAACGCTTTGTCAGAGACAAGCCCTAGAATTTTTTTTGTGTTACTGGAAAAATTGCAAAAACATACAGAGGTTTTAGTGCGCCAAAAACTAAGAAGATGGTAAATAAAGAAAAAATCTTCACTTCATGTCTTAACACTGTGTTCACTTGTTTATTTGTCAAACATGTTTTTTTTTTTTTGTAACTAACCATGTACGGTGATGTATAATATTACGTTTTTATTCCATACCTTACATGCAGCAATTCGAATGGGAGATGCACGCTCCGCACGGTGTGTGTCGAGGATCGGAAACCAACGCTCTACATGTCATTATGAGTCACCCGAATTCTTTCCCGTCGCCACTAGCTGTTAATCGCAAACATACAAAAATATTTATATGACTGGGATATTTTAAACGTAGGTTTTAAATATAATATTATACATTAGGTAGTTAAAACTCGTAGAATTAAGATTTTTAAACAAATCTAATTTAAAACAAAGATGTACTTAGTGTGCGAATTCGTTCGCGTAGAAAATTTTTCTTCGAATGTTTTACAGTTGAGTGAGTTGGTAATTTAACAGATTTGAAGCTTAATGGCCTTCTGGTTTCAGATCTAAGTATCAATATATTAAATACACTAACGTGACGGTGCGACGTAAGAAAATCCACCTATTTATTTATTTATTTAAAAGTTTATGTACACACATACTTAGATAGGAAAATGGTAAAAACAAAATTATGTACAAAGGTACTGCTTATTCCATAATGAAATTTCTTCCAGCAGGCCTATTGAAGGATAGTTGAAGGAAATAGAGGTAGTCAAAGTGTGCACTTTATTAAAATATACATATACAATACAAATATACAAACCTCCATATATATACACATAAATACAAACATACACATACACATACATACCTACTTCATAATGTCAATCCAAAAGTGTTTTAAGAGGCGACGGAGGGGATGGACATTGGACACCTTTCAATCGTCGCAACTACGGCAAATATTTATGAGTACAGTAAATTTTTGATTGTTTGTAATGATGACTATGAAAGTACTCTATCGTCCTTTTGCGACAATTCGAATCCGAATTTTTTTTGTGTGTAGCTCGTTTAAACAAACAGACAGACAACGTTTCCAAAAAAAATTCTATCTTGGTATCTGTATCTACTCTATATTATACCTTAATAACTAATTAATAGATTCCAAAAACATGCAATGTACAGAATTAATCTGATAGGGCTTTATTAGTATACATTTTACGAATTACACATCAAAATATTTAATTGATTGTGTAAAAGTATCGTTGCGTTTTTTACTTCCTCGATAAAATTATTTCCATTTTAAGTGTATTTTATTTTAGCCTTGAAAAATCAATTGTATTTTATTTTTGTTCGGCTTAAATTGAGACAAAACAAAACAAGTGAGAAATGCGAACAGAAACTGTACAGGAATTGAGAAAAGCAATTTAAGTAATTCAAAAGTGTTTGAGCGCCTGATTTAAAGATTTGAATTCATTTAACGGTTTTCAACCGACTTTTTGACTAAAACACTTTACGTTTCTTTAAAAACAAATGAAATAAATATTAAAAAGTACAATTCATTCAAGCAAATAACGTAAACAAGTCAGTTATGGACTACATGGACTTCGTTTGAAATTTATTGTACAACTGTTTTAGTCATTATTCTTTTTAATATTCCAGAATTTTTAACAGCCTTAAATATATTATCGATCAGTTCTCGAGGTTTTTTTATAGGATAGGGTGACAAACGAGCCCACAGTTCACCTGATGGTCCTCGATTGCAAATCAAAATGCAGATGCGTTGTCACCCGTAAGGACTAAGACGGGTGCCTCGTTTCCAGTAAAAAGAGTCTCTAGTTCTCTACACTCACCACACGAAACACAGCAGCATTAAGCTACTATTTTACGCTGGTATTTTGTGAGAGCGTGGTCCTACTCCGGTCGAGCCGACCCATTCGTGCTACAACTATACTACTAATGTAACTGAAGCATGGCTCTACCACGTGTATGGTCGTAAGCGTTCTTTTTAAAGCGGTAAAATGTCCGCCAACGTTCAGGACAGTGGTGCCAAGCAACGCGGGATATTTCCATTTTAAAGTCCAATCAGGTTGATGTACTAACTGGTATTTTATTCGAAGAACCCAAGTGTAGTTGTAACTGTAGTACGAACTCAGAATAATCTGAAAAATTCTCAAAGAAATACGAATTTTATCAGATTTTTTAAACGTACTACAAGTTTTGAACCTCATCGTTTGATTTCAATCAATAAATGTTTTATTTCATAGTAGATGATACTGTTGATGTACTACTACTAGTTTACAGTAGGACTGTCATAATCATGAGTATGATTAGAAGTCCCCTAATTTAAGATTAAAAACAATTGTTCCCAACTTTTTGTAAAAACAAATTGTTTGACTGCCTCGTTAGTCTAGAGGTTGTAGCAGTGTGTGACTGTTGTTAATGAGGTACCGGGTTCTAAACCCGGGTCGGGCTAAAAAAATCATTTTATTGAGTTTTTCTGTCAAGAAATTCTCAGTTGCAGCAAGGAATCAGGAAGTTGACGGTGTTTCACCCCCGTGCCTCAGAAAGCACGGTAACCATTAGTCCTGAGCCTGATCTCTATGCGGTCGTGTCGGTTTACAATCCCATCGGACTACGAGAGTGAGAGAATAGAGAGTGCACATGTGCTTGCGCCTATACTTGGCGGTATAATCCTGCCCTGAACAGATGGCTAGTTTCCTTTGAAGCCGGCCACCGTGACCGAATTTCAGTCTGGAGGCTATTATTATTATTACTATTTGTTTCAACACTTGCAGAGTTAGTCAACTTAAAATGTCGCCTTTACCCACATTTTCGTGTTAACGTTATCACCACCTTTTTTTCTACTCGATTGTCATTGTAAAGAGGGATAAGATTGTTGGTATAATTTACAACCTTTCTAAGATATTATAGGTTTATACTTACAAAACGTTCCGTTATGTATTTCGAAATGTTCTACAAGCACAAACAACATAGAAAAACCATTTAGAACCACTACTCATGGGTTAGAATATACCATTCAACTACTGTAACCATTTACCGATCACGGGAGTTTGCAATTGTCAGCGCCACACATATACTTCTTTGTATACTACTAGATGGGCTCTACGGTACTAATAAATTGCGCGCTAAGTTACGGTAAATTCACCGTAACTTCTTTAGTCGACTGCGAACGGGCGATAAGACTAGTTCTTTGTTTTGCAAACCGCAAACGTTGTTTTTGATAATCTTACACTGATTTTGTTTAATGTCACCATGAAAAAGCTGTCATAATTTATGTGCGCACTTTGTCAATGAGGCTTGAGTTTATTTCAAATAAGTTTGTATTATTATTTCGTATTTTCCTAAAACCAGTTACTGTCGTAAATAAAAATACAACTGTATGGCGTAATTACCGTACCAGCCAGTCGTACCTTTCTTGTACTGAATTGGCGGTCTAATAGAATACATGGAAGTGTTTGGCGCCACGTACCAAGGGTAACGGCAACAACCAGCGGCAACGGCTTGCGAGGGGGAGACGCACGGAAAGAGAAACCACTACTAAGTCGATCTCAACATAGCTCGAGTATTTATTTGTATTCGATCACTTACCTTCTTTATCTATCTATATACCTTCTTTCTCTATCTTTAAAGTCACATATTTTCACGAAATTGTAAATGTAATCAATAAAATACTATATAGTTTTTTTTTCTTTAGAATTCTAAGCGTAAGAACAACACTTATACCTAAAATATGTCAACAACAGGTAAATACTTCTTAATTGCATACCTCCCAAGTATCTGTTCAGTTTCATAATTTACAAAGCTTTCCTTATATAGTCTTAAAGATGTTGTCATACTGTCAGTAATCCAATACAGCATTACATTATCAAGAAGATCTGTTGCTGATATGCTTTCTAAGCCACCGGCTACAGTACCCTTGTTGGAGGAATTTGTGAATATCATATATCTATCAAGCATGTAAGCAGCCATTCCAATAGACGACTTTTGAATAACGTAACCTGTGAATATATTTCGTAATAATAATAATAATAAAATCACAAAATTTCAATTAATTTTCAAATCTCATACGGAACAAGTATTTGTATGACCTACAGATAATGTTCTATTTTCTACAAATAATTGTAGCGAAACGCCTGTCAATGACGTTCACCAACCCATTTACAAAGCTAGACTTGTGTCAAGATAGGCCTATATTTACCAGTGGTCTGACAATAAATAAAAATAATTTCAATATTAATGATGACGATCTTCTATGGTAAATCTAAAAAGCGTCGCAGAGAATGTAAGACATCTCAAAAATGTTTTTGTTTTTAATTCTTTAATTATTAAAATCACAAAAGGGCTGACCAACTGGGGACTAACCGCACTCTCACCAACGTGTAAAAGCAGCGTATTTTTTTTTTCTTTTTTTTTTGCGCCTGAAGCAAATATGGGCAACCCTCCGGAAAGCGGGGGAGGGAGGTTGGGAATGCTCATAGCATACCACGCAGCCGGCTGCGTGGTTATGTGGTGACTTTTACCCACTAAACCCAACCTTTTAGGAATTGGCTTAACGATCTGACTAGAGATCTCTAAGCCGTATACGAACGCGACCCTCCTTGGCAGAAAGGAGGGCGCAAAAAAGCAGCGTAATGCTGCTGTAGTTTTTATGGTGAGTGGCGAGAATTGAAGACCTTTTTTACTCGTAAGAAGGCATTCCATCTTAGTACCCTGGGGTGACAAAGAATCTTTATTTTGATTCTTATAAAACGTAGGTATTCATGGGTGACAGCACACACTTAGCGTCAGGTGGACTGTGTGCTCGTGAATCATTATTTATTGCATTAAAAAAACCTATTGTGTCAGGTTTCGTGCCCTGCAAATGCATGTATCCAGCGTCTTCTATTAAATAACTATACTTCTCACTAAGATGATACATTTTATCAGAATGCTCCCCACCAATAATCGTCGGCCAAATGGATCCAAATACCCAAATTAATTGTGCCAACCTTAAAAAAGTAACAGTAATGTGTGAGCCAATAAAACGACCAAAATCTCCACCTTGGAGGTAATATTTATTATGACCGATCCTTAGCATCAGATTCCTTATTATTATGGCTTTTCCCGATCTCGATTTTTGACACCTGAAACCAATTTAAAGTAAGAAGACCTAAGTTAAATGTAAAAAATTGGAAGCCCTCTTAACTGGTATTTTATGCATGGTAGAGGCACACCGCAGCTAAATGATGTTTGTAGCACGAGTGGGTTGGTTCTATTGGGAAACGACCATATTCTCACATAATAGCAGCGTAAAAAAGTATGGTGAATGTAAAGAGTCGGAAACCCTTTACACTGGAAATGGAGCATTTCATCTTAGGTCTGACAACGCATCTGCAAACGATATATGTCTAAAGGTGACAACATCCACGTGCTCGTTTGTTACGTCTCGAACCCTGGTACTCGCGATCTGTTATATTTACAGTGAGCGTTAACCATCTGAGCTACCACGGCTTTAACTTTTTAGGCTTTTAGTTAAAAAATAAATATTGAATTCGTTAACAAAAAAACAAACTAACAAGAAGTTTGGTTTTAACTACTCTTATAAATACCCGAGAGCTGTTGGTAAAGTTATGTGGTCATTTGATCCTTTTTGTTGTTGCTAATTAAAATATTCGAGAAAGTTTCGATGGAGCTTAAATTCTCGTAGAAAATAAATTACCTTTGATTAACCAAAAGTAATAACGAACATTAAAACTCCTTTTTCGATATATTATTTCATTATAAGCTACTAATACCTATTATGTTTACCATTTAGAGGCGGTGTAAAAGTATCCACTACCGCATATCGTCCTGTGGGTGTCGTAAGAGGCGTTTTGTCACCCGGAAACAAACCAGGAGATGGGTAGCATCCGTTTTCCTAATAATTAATAAAAAAAACCGTTAATAGCAACCTAGGCAATGTTCATCACTGAAATTTAATAGGCTCCACATTGTATATATAATCCATCCACTACGGATGGAATGGATATACAAAGTTAATCTTTCTTTTCTATTCTTTTTTCTATTCTTAAAGCATTAAAGCATGTAATGATGAATATGATAATTATGAAATGATAAGCTCTCCCTTTACATTTTAAAGTACGCGAGCGCATAACTACGGTTCAATAAAAGCATTGTTAGGAAACCTACATGTCTGGGGAAAAAATTCGTATATTTCGAAGACATGATGTAAAGTCCACCAATACGTATTGGAGTAACACGGCGATCTTAACGTACCTCACCAATACCTCTCTCATAAATGAAAAAGTACCTGTTCCTTGTAGTGGGACGTGTAGGCGGAAAATTAAACGTAAGTTTGTAGTACTTGGTATTAGAAAATACTTACAGTATCCGTGAATACAACTCTATAAGGTCTTATTGAAGTATCAAGCGGCTTAGTGGTGTTTGGTCCCCATCACTTATCCAACTCGAAGTTAGGAAGTTCAGGAACTGTGACGAAGCTGACAGAGAATTTGAAGGTCAGTCCAATAAGCACTGCTATAATAGACGTTAGCACTAAGCATCACTAAAATTTAAAAAGAAATTAAGCAGATCCGTAGCGCAGAGGTATTATCGGATTCGAATCCTGCACGGAACAAGATTTAGTATTGCCTATAAATAACTATTCCGATTATGTGTGTCTTTGTATTTATATCTTTCTTGTATATACGGAATTATTAAATATATGTTTTAAATCATATCAGCAAGTCTATAGAAATACATATATTGCGTTTGGCTGCAGCTCAGCTTTGAATCTCGCTTAGCAGAAGTATTTGTTTGGAGCCACAGATAATTGACCCAGGTCTGGGTAATTAGTTCATGAGCAATTTTTATGATAAAACGTTACGTTGAAAAAAAAACACAAAACTATCGAGTATAGTTATCCACTGCTCCATATCGTCCCGTGAGTATCCGAGGAGCCGGCACAGAGAAACAAACCCGAAGATGGGAAGCAGCGTACTCTTTCATATTTCTAACAAACCCGAAGATGGGAAGCAGCGTACTCTTTCATATTTCTAACAAACCCGAAGATGGGAAGCAGCGTACTCTTTCATATTTCTAACAAACCCGAAGATGGGAAGCAGCGTACTCTTTCATATTTCTAATAAATCCGAAGATGGGAAGCAGCGTACTCTTTCATATTTCTAACAAACCCGAAGATGGGAAGCAGCGTACTCTTTCATATTTCTAACAAACCCGAAGATGGGAAGCAGCGTACTCTTTCATATTTCTAATAAATCCGAAGATGGGAAGCAGCGTACTCTTTCATATTTCTAACAAACCCGAAGATGGGAAGCAGCGTACTCTTTCATATTTCTAATAAATCCGAAGATGGGAAGCAGCGTACTCTTTCATATTTCTAATAAATCCGAAGATGGGAAGCAGCGTACTCTTTCATATTTCTAACAAACCCGAAGATGGGAAGCAGCGTACTCTTTCATATTTCTAATAAATCCGAAGATTGGAAGCAGCGTACTCTTTCATATTTCTAACAAACCCGAAGATGGGAAGCAGCGTACTCTTTCATATTTCTAACAAACCCGAAGATGGGAAGCAGCGTACTCTTTCATATTTCTAATAAATCCGAAGATGGGAAGCAGCGTACTCTTTCATATTTCTAATAAATCCGAAGATGGGAAGCAGCGTACTCTTTCATATTTCTAACAAACCCCAAGATGGGAAGCAGCGTACTCTTTCATATTTCTAATAAATCCGAAGATGGGAAGCAGCGTACTCTTTCATATTTCTAACAAACCCGAAGATGGGAAGCAGCGTACTCTTTCATATTTCTAACAAACCCGAAGATGGGAAGCAGCGTACCCTTTCATATTTCTCCTAAGCATAAAAATTGTTGTCTAACTTTCAATGGTACTACTTTTATAAATGTTCTATAACTATATAAAAGGATTTCTATCAACAATTCTGCAAGGCCGCGAGGTTCGAAAGCGTGGCGACTCGCCGAATGACCAATAATCATTAATCGGTTGCGATTGCATGAAGGTAAGAATCGATTGATTTAACTAAAAACCGCCTATTGCTTGCAGGATATGAATGAAATTAATCAAGAAAAATTCATTGCTAATCTAATTACTCATTTAATCACTCATTCTTTACTGTATATCAAAGACCAGTGCTACAAATAGACCTCCCTATGAGTTGCTTCAATAGGAGGATATTAACAATAAGCTTTGCAGGCGGCTGCCCAGCCACCGCCTCGCAAAAGCTTCCGATTCACTTACCACTATAAGATCAAGAATGTGAGTTCCGTTGTATAAATTATGAGAGGCACGTGTTATCGTGTACACTTTTATATACAATTTCTATAGTGCAAACGATTGTCATTGTTGAAAGCCAGGGCGATCGGAAAGTCTGACTCTCCCAGACTAAGACAGAATGCCTCGTAACCAGAAAAAAGGATCACCAGATCTCTACGCTCACCATACGAAACACAGCAGTAAGCTGCTATTTTGCGCTGATATTCTGTGAGAGCGTGTTCCTTCCCCGGTCGAGCCGTCGCATTCGTGCTACAACTATAATATAGCTGCAGCGTAGCTCTACCACTTATAATTACGTACACCAATATTATTCGTATGATATACTAAATGATTGTTTTAGAAAACCTCCCACAAATGCAAACAAAAATGTGAGCTGAATAATAATTTTCCCGGCGAAGATAATGTTACATCACGTCCTTCAGTTTCTACTTTGTTTGCATATTTAAATAAAATTATTCCGAATAAGTGCTAAGCTTCACTGATTTGTTTGAATTCTGCCCGAAATTGTTTTATTTTGTATGAAACCAATATAGACCCTTGATTCGAACCCTGCAACACATGTTTAGCAGACGCGCGTACAAACACTGGACCAATGAGGCAGTTATCACAGCCATATAAAGAATTTCCATATAACAATTTCCTAACAGGACATACAATTATGTTAAACTTTTACTT